ATGAAGTATACGACTAACAATTTTGATAGTGAACTACTTTGGAAAAAATTTAACCATTTAAAGGCTCTAATGGCTATTGTCATCTTTAGAAAGCCTTCTATCAAGATGGAGCAATTTTGAATCATTACCAAGAATAGCCATTTGATGGTACAGATTACTTAGAATGGCCACAATCTGCAAAGATGCCATTGGAGCTTATGGAAAATTGGGCTATGTCACCAATGAAGAGAAAAAACCTGAGACTAACTACTCTTAGTGGGTACAAGAGAACTACATGGTGATGACCTGGCTATGCAATTTCATGTTATCCCATATAAGTAAAAACTTTCTATCGGCTAACACAACTAAGGAGATTTGGGATGGAGTAAAAGAAACATATTCACAAAGTGAGAATGTTGCTAAAGCCTACCAATTGAGAAACCAGGTGATTGCTACTAGGTAGGGAGATAAGTTTATTGCAATTTTATTTTTTAGCCCTCAAAACCTTATAGGAGATAGATTATTTGAAGACTGTGGTTTAAGAAAGTATCAAATATGCAACAACTTATTAGAAGCTGGTAGAGAAGAATAGGGTATTTGAGTTTCTAGTAGGACTTAACCATAAATATGACATCATACGATAGCATATTCTTTCCCAAGATAGTAAAACTCTCTCTCAGGCATATCCCTTGACCAATATTTCCACCTTCTTTGCCTCATATCACCTCTGCTTTGGCAAAGATAACGTTTCCACAATTAATGGATCACATGTTCCCATTATTGGAAAAGGGTTGGTTTGTCAAGATAACAAATACCATTACCCCACCTTCTATCATTCATATCCCTAGACTAAGCACTAATCTTTTATCTATTGGTAGCTTGACAAAGAATTTGAATTATTTAGTGATTTTTTTCTCCTGGCCACTATGTTTTGTAGGATCTGAAATCAAAGAGGAGTATTAAGAGTGGTCATGAGGTGAATGGAATCTATCTTCTTGGTGCGCTTCCTAATCATCAGAGTCATCATGTCAGTGAGAATAATGAGTCAAAGTCAATGGGTCAGGTTATGCTTTGGCATAATTAGTTAGAACATTTGTCTTTTGCTTCTTTGTGTTTTTTTTCCAATGCTGTTTGAATCTATTAATTTGTCCAGCTTGGAGTGTGAGGATTGTCAACTTGGAAAGCATTATAGACATTTTTTAAAGCAAGCAATAAAAGATGTTTTTCTGTTTTTGATATTGTTTATACTAATGTGTGGGGATCATATCATATTTATCGATGGGTGGCTATCAATATTTTCTTCTATTTGTGGATGATTATTCTCAATACTCTTGGATATATTTGATGAGATCCCATGACCAGGTACCTTTTTTAGTTCAATAGTTATATCAGATTGTATTGATGTAGTTTAGAGTATGAGTGAAAGTGTTTAGATCAGATAATGGTAAGGAATACTTTGAGAAAAACCTGACATCATACTTATTGGAGCATGGAGTAGTCCACTAGAGAAATTGTACATACACTCCATAATAGAATGGTATAGTAGAAAGAAAGAACAGACATATTCAAGAACCTGTACAAAGAGTTTGAGATTAAGGATTTTGGAGAGTTAAAGTATTTTCTAAGCATTGAAGTGGAAATGTTCAATCATGCGATTTTCATCTCACAAAGGAATTATGTTTTTGACTTACTACAGGAGATTGGAAAACTTGAGGCAATGGCAATTGATACACCTATTGATTAAAACCACAAGATAAATGCTTTAGAAGGTGAACTAGTAAAGGATGTTGGAAGGTATCAAAGATTGGTGGGTCGGTTGCTATACTTATGTATGACACAATCATATATCTTTTATGCAGTGAGTGTTGTGAGTCAATACATGCATGCCCAACGAGTTTAGCATTGGGAGGCCATTGACAAGATACTTTCCTATTTGAAGGCACACCCAGGTAGAGGCATACTGTTTGCTGACCATAAACATGTGAAGTTAGAAGTTAACATATATATTGATTGGACAAGGTGCCTATGTGGCAGACATTCTTATTAGTGGTAATCTAGTTTAATGGAAGAGTAAGAAATGATCACTTGTAGCAAGGTCAAGTGTAGAAGATGAATACAAAGCCATGACACATGGTGTTTCAGAGCTCCTCTAGGTCCGATCTCTATTAAGGGAGATTGGAATTGAAGTCGAAAAACCTATGATGTTATACTATGACAATCAAGCAACAATTAACATTGCCCATAACCCTGTTTAGCATGATAGGACAAAGCATATAGAAGTGGATAAACACTTTATAAGGGAAAGGTGACATTCGGAGAAATGTATTTGCCATATGTTGCATCTGATTTGTAGTTTGCTGATGTTCTTATAAAAGGTGTTGCAAGAACAAGCTAGAGCATGATATGTGCAAGTTGGGAATGTGTGACATCTATTCCCAACCTGAGGGGGAGTGTTGAGTTTTGGGTTGATAACATTTTTTTTTTTATTTACAAGGCATAGTTAGAGAGTTATTAGGCCCAAGGTCCATTAGAGTATGTTTTAAACTAAAAGTATTTACTTAGTTTTTACATGTAGTCCGCTTATTAAGGGCATACTTGTCTTTGTATTTAGTTTTATATATGAGTATCTAAACTAATGAAAGGGGTGTCCAAACCTGATTTTTGGCTTCTTCCCATTCTCTTCAACTTCTCGCCTTTATTCTTCTCTACATAAACCTTCTTTTTCTTTTTTTTTGTTCTTTCTCTTTTTCATAGATTTTATATTAAAACGAAATTTTTGCACTTTTTTACTATATTCAACATCGATTCTCACAATATTCTAGTAGTTTGATCTCCACTTTTGGGTTACTCCATCTTCAGCATTGGGGAACTTTTGGACTAATTCTTTGGGCATGCTGACCTCCTAGGGAGTTGCATTTGTAGGCTTCGTATCAGGTAACTTTCTATCCTAACTATTGGAAATCAATTTGGCGTAGTGTTGTAAATCGATCCTTAAGGAAAAGTGGTTTCTCATGAGAGATTTGCTCTCTCTTTTAATTTCAAGAATTTTTTAAATTCACCTTTGCCACCATCAAGGTTTGACCTTTATGTCTTTCTCTTATTCTATTCTTCCGTATTCACATTGAAAATACACTCCTTGAAACATCTTCTTCTTCTAGTTACTAACAAATAAGCCCATGCAATGCATAAGATTCAATAGAGAATTAGTTAGGTTTAAGTTGGAAAATTTGAGTTTTAATATCAATTTGGATTCTAGGTAGGGCCCATATTTAAGGTTGGTCTTAGGCTGACTCTTAACTTTCTCTAATCTATCAAATTTATACTCTTACTTTTTTAGAGAGAGCCAAAAGGGGAAAGGGGTTAAGAGAGATTTAAGAAGGGATGATTTTAATGAGGTAGGGGAGATGCTACATAAAAATTGACTATTAAGAGAGAGGAGGGGGAGAATTTTAAGACCAATCTTATTGGAGAAAAGTAATGATTGATTTTATTAGTGACCATATGACCATGCCTTTCTATTTTTACTACTTATATTTTAATAGTTTAATTTAAAAATAAATAATCACATGCCTTAGAAATGGGAGAAGAGGGAGGTCTGATTAAGCTATATGGTAAGAGAGGACCCTAGGCCTCCCCTCTTTCTTCTTTCTAATATAGATCTAGATTTGTTTGAAGCTGAAATCATAAGTTATAAAGCCGAAAGACCAAAAGACTCATTCATTTAAAGGACTAAAAGACCTAAAATCAAGTTATAAATTTCTATCAAGTTGGTGTAAATTTTATAGTCAAGAGTTTGGTGTAATGATTTTGAAACTATACCAAGTTGTGGTCACATATTCTTTTATACGGTCTAGTTAATACCATAAAAATGTGTAAGAAGTAAAAATAAAAGAACGGGAGAGAGACTGAGGGATGAGGGATTGACCGAGAAAGAGAATGAGAGAGATTGAGGGAGAACGATAGGTAGAGAAACACAAAAAGAGAATGTGAGACATTGATAGAGAGAATGTAAATATAGAAACTGAAAACCATTTTTATTTATTTTCATATGACATAGTCATTGAGCAGAGAGAGACAACTGTAAGAGAGAGAGAGAGAGAGGGGAGAGAAACTAAAAACCTTTTTACTATTTTCAAATCACACAACATTAAAGGAAAATTTCGGTATAAGATTTTTGTTATGTCCAACTTAGATTAAGAGTCTCATGTTGGCAACAACCACATAAGCCTCTGATGATATGGCAGAAGTTTATAATTTAAGCATGTGTAATTTAACAATGGATATGACATTAAACATACAAACGTGCAAAATAGGATTCATGTAGCCAACCCCTTATAATTGGGACAAGGCTTGGATGATGAGGATATTAATACTGATATTATAATATTGTTAATTAATAATCAATAAAAAATTATAAAATAAGTGAAATGCAATATTTAAAAGTAATTTAATATTTTAATATCATAATAGTATTATTAATATTAACATAAGGATTAACAACAATTAATACTAATATTATTATTATTATTATAAAATATTATTAGTGAATACTATTAAAAATAGTAATATTATTATTAATTAATAACAATTATAAAATAAGTAAAATGCAACACTTAAAATTAATATGTATTAAATAATTGAAATATTACAAATAAGGCACTTAAATTAACTAATAACAATAATAAATTTTTATATGAGCCCTTTCCAAATGGTTTTTTTTTTTTTTGCCTTTTGAGAAGATTTCTCAAAAGTTTACATTATAGAAGGGTGAAAAAGACCAGCTCTCAGCAGATCTTTCACAAAAATAAAATAAAAAAAAGAGAAACCGTTGAGCTTTTAAAAGATCCTTTTAGAAAGACTTGTCAAACAAAACTAAAGTAAAAGTTGAAGCAACAGTGTACCAGAATTTGCATTGTTCTTATTTGCACTCTTTTGCATATATTAATACAAATGAAATTGCATTACAAACAAACAAATTACAAATAGGAGGTTGCCTTGCGTGAGTTCATTTGTCCGCCCCATAGTACATCCCCGTCGTGCATCCATCATTGGGAGATGATCCCAATGATGATCCCAATACACGACGGGGATGTGCTGTGGGGCGTTGTGGGGCGGCCGTTGTTGGGGCGGAGATGTGATCTCGCCTTGGCCTTGCTAGTTGCTACAGATCTGGACTCGCTTAAAACGTACGTTATTCAGTACCAAAAAAACAAATAAAACGTACGTTATTCGTCATCCAAGTTCCAACAACCCATCCGCGACGGAGCTAGGCCCCAATTCGCATTTACCACTACCAGACAGGTAGACGCTAACATCTCCAATAGGAAATAACATTTGCACCACTCCGCTTGGAGAATTTTCATCTTCTTCTGTACATTGTTTTCAAGAAACTCCAGAGATTCCCGACGGACGAAGAAGCTCCATTGCGACAGATCTACTTACTATTTCCCTCTAAAAGCAAGAATTTCAATTGGGTTCTGCGTAATTGTCGTCGTGAATGGAGAAAATGAACCAAGCACTGGAGAAGGTGAAGATTCTGGTGGGAATGGAGGTGGACGAGGAAGAAGTTGCACAGACCAACTCCTCTTTATTGGACGACTTCAATCGTGAGTGCACATTATCGACTAAGCAGGTTCCTACATTTCCCCCTCTTCTTCTTCAAGTCCTTAGTTTAGCTTTACTTGATCAAATTACTGGTTTCTTGTTAAACTTCTAGGTCTCCTTCAATTTCAGTCTATTTCCTTGTATTAAGAGCTTATGATTTCCTTTTATTTTTATTTAAATTCATAAGATTGGATTTGATAATTATATAATCCTCTGTGTTTTGGTGTATATCTCATGCTGATTTGTCACATTGATATTCACTGATTTCTCGGAAAACTTTTAACTGTAGGGTATGATATCAGAGACTCAGCATAGGTATTCTTTTAGATCCGGTTTCTTATTCATTCCGCTCCTATGGAGTAACAGAGGTTGCATGTAGGCCGGGCTGGAATGTGCTTGAGACCATCCTGGAATTGATGTATCTACTTTCTAGCCTGTTATAATTTGTTTTGGGACAAAACAGAAAAAGAATAAATCCCCTTCCTTTCCAACGTCCAAGCAACTTGTGGTGGGAGGATCGGCCCTTTTAGTGAAAATATCAAAAGCTCAAAGCTTGTGCGTTTATTCACTGGGCATACAGTTGCATGTCAAGTTTTAGCCTTCTAGGCCTAATTTAACCTGAGCCTAAGGTGCTCCATGGTTCTAGAGCAAAGTTGCAATGAACTTGCACACATATTCAAGCTGTCTACTAATGTTGGTAAGATGACTGAAAGTAATAATCTTTTGTTGTCTTATTTTAAGCAACATCATTTCTGCATAAATACAAACATTACTGTAGTTGTCCACATGCAAGGCACATAGAGGGTCTTGTGGCCTATTTTCATGATTTCTTCACTAAACCAGAATTATCACTAAGAAAGGTGAATAAAAAAAGGATTGAATTGTCAAACTCTGAAGAGATGGGACTCATGGGAGATTGAAAATATTATAAATAATAGGATAACATTGAACATGCTATTTACTTTGAGGATAGAACCATAGCAGTTTGTTCAACCAAAATTCTACTTAATGGGAACAGAATTTGATGTACTATAATCCTGTTGAATGGGCCGATTTGTGTTTAGTTTATTTTCTTTTAAATTAAGAAGTTGTTTAGTTTTTATTTTCAAAAGAGTTGTAACTATTTAGTTTGAGTTGTCACCCTACTAAGGGCATCTTTGTAATATCTCATATTTAAGTTAAATATAAATAGAATGAGGGGCTGGGGGCTAGGGTTATGATACACAATCCTAGTTGACCTTCTTCTCCTTTTCTTCCTCTTCCTCTTCCTATTGCTGAAATCTACAACTTTCCCCTCTTCCTTTCACAAGAAGCTTGATCGAATCAGCAGATAGTGGTTTCTACTAATCCTAGAGGAGAAACTTGAGTTACAAGAATTAGTAGGAGTTCATTTCCTCATTCCACCACTCTTTGATGTTATGGGTTTAATTTAGGTGTTCTCAAAACCAAAAAGGTATTCAACCTCCCCCATGGCCTCATTTTAAATCATAATGGGACAATGATTTGAAATGGGTTTAGGGAGTGCTTATACAGGATAGGCTAGATCAGTGGTTTTCCCAATCCAAAAAGGAAGTGAATCTATCCAGCTTGAAGCAAGAAGGGGGCACTTGGATATTAGACCATGTAAATTTGGCTAGGAGCATGGGATATCTTTTAGAGCATAATATCATTGATGACAGTGTTGAAGTCTCTGATGCTAGTAGATATGACCTGATTAAGTTGGATTTACAAGATAATCTAACAATGTTAACCCCAGCAGAGGCCCTACCCATAGTCGGCCCTCTAGTAGACTATTTACATTTTTATTACAATTAATACGTATTTGAGTTACTTATCTAAAAATAAATAAATAAAATCTCCTTCCTATATGGGAAATCACCTCATTCGTCATAACCCATTGAAATACATCATCTACCCTTTTAATTTCACCAAAATTGAAAATTTTCCAATGAGTTTCTCCTTATAGGAAATCACTTTGTTCTTCCACAAAGTGATAATTCCTCTAAAAGCATCCCATGATGGGGTCATGATCCAACTAATATTCCTAGAGGACCAAAGGATTCTAACCCAGCTACTGTTCAGCTCCTCTAATTTCAACCCTTGGGTTCTCTTAGTTCAGCATGAGTTTGATTATTTTTTGCTTCCTGGCACTACAGCCTTCTTACATTCCAACTGGTGATCTTCATTCTACCTTCTTAGCTAAAGCTCAGTAGTTCCCAGTTCCCACCTCTGATTACATTCTAGTTGACTTAATACTAGAAATAAGACAAAGCATACTTGTTTTATAACTATGGCTCTTACTAAAATATCTCTTAATACAATTAGCTTGTAATCTAACTAGGAAAGCTATTAATCTCAAATAATTATATAGTAGTTACTGAAAAATCATTAAAATAACCGTACTATCCATGCTGATTAAAAAAATACCTTACTATCCATAAGTACATAAAAACTAGGAAAGTTCCACATTTGTCTCATTTCTTCTTCATTATACCCCAATAATGTCTGTGAATTTGTGGAATTGGGGCCATTAAGTTCCATTTCTGCCCCCATTTCCTTGACCCATAGACTGGTAAAGGGTTTTCTGTCGCAAACTTAGAAATTGTTTCATCTTCACCTGTTTTTGTGAAAAAACAATTCATCTTTGTTTATAAATTATGTTAAGATTGTTCATTGAGTAAGAAGTACATTTGAACAATTATAGAAGAATGGTTTCACCTTTATTTTGGTTCCCCAGTATTTCTGGAGCAGAATTTATTAATCTGTAGGAGATGTGCTTCTTACAACTTTAAGATTTCATTGTTATAGTCTTTTGACCTGACTCCTTTTTTAATATCTTTTCATTTCATTAATCAGAGATTATATGGTTTTGTGACATGCTTGGTTGCTGGTATAGTTTGTACATTCCTGGTGAGTTCCTTACTGCATTTAACTTTCCATTGTCCTTTTCTTTCCTTCTTAATCTTCTGTTTGTTTTAGTCAATATATGCAAGAACCATTTTTTGGGTTATAAAGTAGTTAACTGTTTTGAAGATGATATATACAATTTATGGTAGGTTTTAAGATACTAGCTAGCAGTTGAAGAAAAGAAGTGAAGAATGTAGGAAACAAAAGGAGAAAATTGGGGAATGTGTTCATGACCCCTATGTCACTCTCTTAATTCATTAAGTGTAAGAAGACATAAATGCCCTTGATACCATGCAACTTACATGGACATGGGTCCAACACAACACATCTGATAACACTCCTTAAGTTGGTTCACAGATGTCAAGCATGTGGCGTTGATAAGAATATTAGAGAACTGAAACGTCCCTACAGCTTTGGTCAACATTATCAGTGAACTGATAATTTGTGATTTGTCTTCATGAATGGTAAACCAATATCTTTGGAAGCAGCTTTTTCTCAAATAAAATGTCTGTGAACTTTGCCTTGATATGCTTGTTTTAGTCATGTTGCACTGATTTGTGAGAAATGTTGATTGTAGCCTTGTTATTACAATAAAGATCCATTGGACCCTGTACTAGACATCCAAGCCCTTGAATTAGTGTTCTTAGTGAAAGTGCTTGCATGTTCCATAAGCAATTCTCCTCTGTTCTGATTCAGCATTTAATCTAGCAACTACGGACTGCTTTTTACTCCAAATAACAAAGATCCCACCTACAAAAGTGCAATACCTAAACATAGATCATTAGTCAATAATTGGTCTTGTTCAGTCAACATTTATGTAAGATTCAGTACCCATATGTGAGAAACATAATAGTGAAAGATGATTCTGAGACAATACTGGGTTGGCTGAGAATGATGGTCAAACAACATGGCAGTACTGGAATACTTTGAGAGGAATCAAGCATGTAGCAAGCGAGAGGGTCCTGGATGGGTACCTAGATCAGTAAACCATATGGCTGATGCACAGAAAAACAAGGAACAAGTAGGGAGCAAATGTATTTCGGGGGGGGGGGGTGAGGTATCCAGTCCACCCATCCCAAGACCCCAGATAGCTGGGACCAACATTTGGTAGTGGCCTTTTTTCTTTATTAATAGAATGGCAGGTGAAAGTTGGCTCTAAAGAGGAAGCAATTACTTGTACGTAAATCATTGTAAATACTAAACTTTTTACTTTTTACTATTAACAAAGAAAAAATAAAAGAGGAATTCGTATGACCATTCCTACAGAATAGTGATCCCTTGCTAGGTGAAGCATTAAGATAACAGTGTTTGACTCATTATATCCAGATGTGTAGAACAAGATGAGTGTATAAACTGACTGACAGCACCAATAGCATGGATAATATCTAGTCTTGTAAATTACAAGTAAGTCAGCCTGCTAACGAACCTTTGAGATGTATGAATATATACAATTGGCTCATGACCTTTATCATCTAACTTCAAGTATGACTCCATAAATATCGTTGCAAGTTACTTTCTTGTCTATTTGAGAAGATCTGGACTGTACTTGCATTGTAATATGAACACTTTTTCCTTTAGCTTCATAACTCTATGCCAAGAAAAGATTGGAAGAGAAGTTCTAGATGAATTACAAGCACTTATGGTGGTAGGAGTTCTAAGCAGGATGTTGAATAGAGGGGTGGAAGCTGGCTTGAATGGACAGTTCAAGATTGAAAGGGAAGGTTTAACTATCACACATCTCCAATATGCATGTGACACTTTGATCTTCCTGGATTGTTTGGTAGATCAAGTTTTGAAGTTGAGAGCCATTCTTAAATGTTCTGAATTGCTTGCTGGGCAGAAAATAATTTTGGATAAGAGTGTGATGATTGGAGTAGGGGATATTGCTCAATCTTTTTAGAGGAATGTGCAGGTGCTCATACTTGGGACTTCCAATTGGGGCAAACACTTCTGCTCCATCAAAATGGCACCTGGTGCTAGATAGAATTGATCAAATATTGGTTGGTTGGAAGGGGAAATATTTATCACTTGGAGTCAGAAATACTCTCTCAAAAGTGTTATTTATAATCTGCTGATTTATTACTTATCTTTGCTCAAAATTCAGGCTTTGGTAGCTGCAATGAACTCTGCTGGCGGTTCCTTCAGTTCGGAGAATTTTGTTAGATTGTTAAATTTCCTCATACTAAGAGAGAGGCCCTGATCTAGGTTGTTTGTTTCCTTGAAAATCTAAGGACATTGAAATCCCCTCCAAGACACCAAGGCCCCTCCCACAATCCTCTAACTGTACTCAACTCCTCCCAGAACTGCACCCTTTCTCTGTAATAGTTAGGACCATAAACATTGGTCATCACCCACTCCTTCCTATCACTAGCTCTTTTGAATTTTGTTGAGACCGAGTAGTTCCCTATGGGTTCCTCCGGGCATTCCAGATCCTCATTTTTATAGATAGTGAGAATTCCCCTTGAAGTTCCCCAGGAAGGTGCAAAAGCCCAACTTAAGCCTTTGATTCCCCAAATACTCCTAATCCACCTTCTATCTAATTCTAATGATTTGGTTTCCTGAATTAAGAAAACATCTGGCTTCTCTTTCCTTAGTACACTTCTTATTACTTTTCTTTTCTTGCACTTCCTGTTAGAATTGACAGTCCAGGGGTTCAAGTCCTTTTACATTGTTTTATTTAGAGATGTTTTGTCTATTTTATTTAAGTTTAAGTAGGGTGTCCCATACATAATGAGGGGCAAAAGAGTCTTTGTACTTGAAGGATTACAAACCTATAAATATAGTTCTGGTCAGTTGAGAGAAGCAAGTCAAATCTCTCTAGCTATGACCATTCTTTCCTATCTCTTCTCTCTTTCCTTCTCTCCTCTTCTTCTCCCCTTCTTCTTTCTCCTTTTCTCTTTTGCTCTAGGGCAGAAATCAGATCTGGTCAAACTGATAACATGGTATTAGAGCATAGTTGTCAAGGCAATGCCTAGGCGACAAGGCGCCCTTGGGGGCTCACCTTGCCTAATCGCCAAGCAGTTTTGTATAGTGATAGTGTGTAATAAAAAACTTTTATATTCATAATTTTTGAGGTTATACTTATAAAATAGACATTATTAAACTAAAATATTAATTTTGTGTGTTTATATTACTAATTTCTTTTTATTATTTTCTTATTGTTACGGTTTAATCAACACAAACATTGCTAAATGCTGTATTGAACCATCAAAGACTTCAAAACCTGAACCAACAAGGAATAACATAAAATGTTGTCTGATCAACACCTTTTCTTCTTCACCTTTTCTTTTCTTCTTTTCCTGTAACAGAAATAGGGGTTCAGCCCCTATATTTTTGAATTTTCTTTTCTTTTTTCCTTTTCTTCTCATGAATATATTAGAATATGTTTATTTTCTTTACTTTAACATGAAGTTTATACTTATGAAAATTATGGGTGATTATTAAGGAAATATGGTTATAGAACCTAGGGAACTACCCTAGGATACACTAAAAAAAATCCATTGCCCAGGCGACGCCTAGGCGCCCTTCCAGCTAGTAGTAAATTACCACCCTTCTTTTCTCAGCATTTGACCGTTTACTGTCTCAGCTACTAAGCAATCTCCACCTAAGGTTCCTTGTGCCAGCTCATCATCTTCATCCTTCATTCCCTTCCAAAGCTCAATGTCCATTGCTGACAGGATCCATGTTTTGTAGGCTAATCCATTTACCATCACTTCTATCATGCAAGCAACATTCTCCATCCTTACCCCCACCAGCCTAACCGAAGCTACTCGAAGGTTAGAGGTATTGAGATTTGCAAGAACACCTCCACATAACTGAGCAATCTTCTGGAAAATCGATTCAGACCAGAGGTGAAAAGGTAAACCAACCATCATTACCACAGGATTTTCACCTAGATCAACTGAGTTGGACCCTGAGCTCCATCTTCATACATCCACAAAACCTTCTCTGGTCTGGACTTGAAGTGCAAATACATGTTTTAGGGGAACCTCGAGGTAAAAATTGCCAGAAGGTTTTAAAGAATCTCCTTCGATCTTCAACTTCCTTCTTAAAGCTTCAGCAATCTCCTTTCAGTTGCAAACCTTCTGCTTAGCAGCTACGAAAAATCTTTTACTCCAAATATCTTTTGTAGCTGTTGTCCTGAGATTGGGAGCTTTAACACAACAGTACATTTGATCTTCTTGTCTTCTTCTTTGTCGTCACTCCGCATAACATTCTTGTCAGACACTAAGGCTCTAATTCCTTGCTGAGTTCTGGTTCCTTGCTGTGCTCTTGTACTGGCCATAGCCTGAGCACCTTTTCTTCCCGTCTGGTAGTCCTGAATCATCTCCAATATCAGATTTCATCCCTTTCTCTGTTTTCCCATCGGAAAGCAAACCAGCTGTTTCCTGTTTTTCCCAAAATGCTCTGTTAATGTAATATACCAGCCCTTCCCATTCTTTCTTGTTTCTACTACGTATAACTTTCCAAAACTTTTGATATCCTTCATCCATTCCTGTAGTTTGATTGATTTACAGGCTCCCACCAACAAGCACTTAAACCAAAGTACCAAACATGACTTCCTCTGCTAGAAAAATCATGGCCTTCTTTCCTTTATCGTATTTTCAGCTGCTCCAAACCCTTAGCACTGGTCTCTTTGAAAATGAAGTTCTTTGCCTCCACCTGTAGCCCCTCCCTCCATCTTTTTGCATGCCTGAATCCTTCATCAAGAAAGAATGCGGAAGTTCAGCTCCCAAAAGAGATTCATCCAACTAAAATGGAATGTCTATTGTCAGTCTACAGCATTCTTACTCAAAATTGTCTGAAGAGAAAAGGGAATTCAGACGGCTAACAGATTCTATTTGTGTGAAGTAGATGGGATAGGGAGAATGTTCTTCATATTTGTTATGGTTATTTTACGAAATTTATTTGGTGGTTCTTCATCTGATTATTTGGCTCAGAGTTTTGGAACCAAGATCCCCTGAAGAATCTTTTCTTCATGGATGGTGTTACAAGGCAACAAAAAAGCCAAAAGTTTTTGGTCATGTGTCCTGTTTGTGGTCTGTTGGGAGGTGAGAAAAAGAAAGAAAATGAAGAATTTTTGAAGGAAACTCAAGAAGAAAAGAGGAGCTTTGTTCACCCATTGGGAAGATCTTAGATTGGATTTTGATTGTACCAGAGCTCTTGGGGGTTCAAAAGATTGTTTTGGGTGGTTTGTTGTCTTCGTTAAAATTGGAAATGGGGGGTTGTCTTTTCTTCTTCTTATTGGGTGATCTCTCATCACCCCTTGTATCTCTTTCTGAATTTTATTGAATGTTCTTTTTATTTATTTATTTTTTTTTAAAAAGCTGAAAAACTTTGAGAGAGAAGACCAGAGAAGAGTGAAAGAAAGAAGAGTAGGAATCACTCCTTGGATTCCTAGAATCAGTCACCACAAGTCCCACAAGCAGAAAATAAACTCCTAACATTCTTTTTTCTCCAATATTCATTTCCCACATGTAGCAACCAGCAACTTTGTGTGTATTTATATATATGTAGTCTAGGGTCAGCCGAACTATATAAATTAGGAAAACTCAAAATTACAATTCTGCCACTTACCAACTTAAGGAAAACTAAATAAGACTTAACCAATGACTTGAAACATTTAAACATGACTAAGATATGACCAGACAAATCAAACTAACAAGTTCAACTCCACAGACACATGCTAAAATTTCCAAAATACCCCTACTGTAGGAAAAGAAAACAGAAATACGTAAAAAGCTAGGAAATTAAAACATCAACTCTTTTGCTCCTCCATTCATGTTCGTTATAGTTACAGTCAATGTAAAACTTTATGTCTTTTGCAATATGCAAGGCCTTTTAAGTGACTACTTTTGATTTTCATTATTTTATCTTTGGTTTGCAGTCTATGCTTGTTTTCTTCAACCCAGTCAAGTTTGGGATTACATTCACCTTTGGCAATCTGCTCTCACTTGGGAGGTTTGTTAATATTTCATATTTTGTATATTCTATGCAAGTAAAAGAGTTATTCTTCTTTTTTTCTATACTGTAGTGCAAGTGAGAAATGTAATTCCTAATTGATCCTTGCTTCTGAGAATCCAAACATATTTTGTTTTATATGGCTGTTTGCACTTCTGAGAACCTGTAACAGTGCAGAAACTTATCATGGTTATATTTATTGTATGGTTCTTAGTGTCCTCTCTGAACTTGGCAATGGAGTTGGTAGGAATGTGATGATTCATTGTGTGCTCAAGGATCAAGAAGATAGTTGGGTTTCCAAACTAACTGTGGAAGTGATGGTTCATTATGTGCTCAAGGATCTCACTCAAAATTTATCTATTGGAGCTTTTATTTTCTATGTTCTAGATAAATCATGAAAAATATTTTTGTTTATATATTTATTTTTTGTGGAGGGGGTTATGGTTATGGTGTTGGAGAAAAGTTTATCCATTTTACAAATGAAAATGATAAACTATAATTCCTCTCATTTTTTTTGTTGTTTTTATCATCTGATGTTTTTTTGTCCCTCATATAGCATGTGAACTTGATTTTGGAAGCGAACTTTATGCATTTTAATAAGGTTGATTGAAAAAAGGTTGTTTTTCTTGCATTTTGAAAGAAGTGTGCTATAGATTCTTTCTGTTGCAGAATTTCTTTTCCACGGAATCATGGCTTGATGGTTACCTAATCCTGCTTCTGCTTTATATATTCTCCACTCTATAACTTTCTACCTTTGTCCTTGTGTCTTTCAGATGCTAAAGTTGAAGTCTTTTGTATGGCAGCACAGCCTTCCTCATAGGCCCTAAACGGCAAGTGACAATGATGCTTGATCCTGTTCGTATCTATGCAACAGCAATATACCTTGCAAGCATTATAGTTGCCCTTTTTTGTGCTCTTTATGTAAGTCTTTAGCATCTTTTTTTCTATACATGGACAAATCCATTTCTCTTGTTATTATAGTTGTCTAATTATCTTCATTCTTTACTATTAAGCAGGTCCGTAACAAGTTCTTAACACTTTTGGCAATCATTTTAGAGTTTGGTGGACTTGTTTGGTATGTCAGAAGCCTCTTGCACTCCCTTGTAACGTAATGATAGATATCTGGCTTACACATTTGCATTGCCCTTGCTATGTGGTTAATCTCTCTAACTCATCCATATGTTTATGCTTGGTAATGGTAAAACCTTGGGCTGGAAAGGCCTTGGTTAGAGTAGAGATCACTATTTGCTGATTCGGTCAAGCTTCTTGTGAAAGAAAGAGGAGGAAGATGAAGATTTCATCAGTAGAGAGGGAAGGAGAAGAAAAGAGTAGGAGGTCAACTAGGATTATGAGAAACTTAACCCTAGCCGCCAGCCCCTCGTTATATTTATATTTAACTTAAAGATGAGATATTACAA